GACTTCTAACCGAATCACGGTAGCTGTCCCCGGGGTGAACCTCCGGCACAATTTCAACACTCGTCCATCTGTGCAGCTATAAATTCGGTAGAAATCAAACATGGCTAACAATTGTCTCAAGATGGCCGCTGGTAATAAAAATAATTTCTATTCACCATCTTGTCTGATTTTACCATTCTCTTCAGATCGCGCTATTCTTCTCCAGAATGTTCTATTCTTCGTCAAGGTTTTCACTTTCTTACTCTATTTATCGGATTGTTTGTGCTTTTCTTTCCAATATTATCGGTTTGTTTATCTTTTCAATCAAGGTGCTATATGCAGATGTAATACACGGTTGGGTCATGAACGTGTCAAGAGTCTTTTGAATTTTTGAATTTTATCGGTCATTCAAGTGACATATTGGCATTGTGGGGTCGATACATTTGACCACTGAATGAGCATGGCTAAAAACGTCTGGATACTAAACGATAATGCGAAGTTTCTGTTCTTATCTTGTTTCCTACAGTTTCTAATACCAAATTCAATCATTTAGAAAAGGATTTTCTTCTTTGGAAGTCATGTGTTTGTGTGTCATTTTTTTTGTTTCAATTCAGTAAAAACCTCTATCAATTCAAATCTAGCCAAAACCCTTAGCACAGCTCAGCACGTAGTCCAAACTTAAGCGCAGAAACAGAAGTCCCAAGCCAGCGATGTGACGGATTATACGAGAATCAACGACAACCTTGCGATCATAATTTAAAGAGTGAAATCACTTAGCACATTGGTAATAAGATTACAGGGAGTTTGAGGACACGGTTTGCCTGTTAATTTGCTCTAATTTGATAATAGTTGATGAGGTTTAGAGAGCCGGTAATCCAGTTAGTGGCTTCTACCGTCTTGTTTCAGCCGTCACCGTGTTAAATAGTCCATGGAGATATAATTAGGTAAAACCTTGTTAATGAGAGTAAAACAATTAAATACAATATGATAGTCACGTGACACAAACCACAAATTCGATTTTATCGTTTTTCACAAAAAAAAGATTGAGTCGTTTGACAAGATACTGAACTAAATTAAATTTAAACTTTTTTTTTGATATTATTGTCGGATTTTCTCATATCTCGATATATTTTCAATAGTTTCATTTTAAAAAAAGATATTAATATTTAGAAATAGATCCGCATGTCAGTAGATATTCCAAACAATCAAAATTATCTAAACACAATTAATATTTCTGATCATAATCAAATTGAAAACAAAATAACTGGTGTTGCTGATTTTATTAAATCAAAGAATCAAAATGTATAAACAAAGACTTTATTGAATATCGTGACATCTTTAATAATAAAAGATAAAAAATTCGGAAATTTTACGAAATTGTTCCCAAGCTCCTTAAACAATTCAAAATTTACATAATTTCTTACAGAATTTCGAGAAAATTTTGACACTTTTCAGGAAAATATAATAATGTCGTCACTTTTATATAAAAGTGATAGTTTTGGTGACACTTTCAATGAATTTAAAATTTTATTCAAATCATTTCGTTCAGAATTAGCATAATTCGAAATTCAATTTCAACGATTACGACTGAAAGAAGCCAAGCGTTTCGGCTCAACTCAACAAATCTTTCTCGCATTCAATTGGAAATAAAAGCTTACCAATGGTATTTTTGTTGTGAACAATTTCTCAACTGGGTGAAAATGGGAGATTTGGGGATTATGAAAAGCTTGAGAATTTGTTATGATGAAGATTGTATGAGTGTCGGTTGATAGAGCTATTATAAAATAAAGTTAATCTTATTAAATATAATACACAAACACAATACGACGAGTAGGGGCTAATTCTGTACGGGACCAAACAACAATACAACTCGTACAGACCAATTTTGTACGGAGAACTATGAACAATACAGAGGTCATTTCACTGACCACCCATTTGTCCATTTTAAATCTCCTAACTTATTCCAATTCTCATTTCTTATTAAAATATTTTGTGGATTAAGGATTGGACAAATCGATCAATTCTGATGTTTTTGATTGAAATAATGCGATAAGTAAGATATAAGCTTAATGTGGTTTTGTGGTCTATCATCAAGGGTTTGTTAACGAATTAGTTTGGAGATTTTTCAATGGTTTTTATTTAATTTTCTGAATATTTGTTGCTACTGGAAATCCAATGCTCTTGTCTTCAGTTTGTTTGATATTGGTACAGAGACTTCTTCTTGAACAGAGTACCAGATCGTTTGTTTTTCACCTATACACATTACACATTAAGTTGGTATTGGTGCCTAGCTTTAGAGTTTCAGATCGTAAACAAAATCAGTCAGTTTTAACGGAAAAAATCCCATCCAGTATCTGAAGATCTAAGAATTAAACTAATAGACCAAAATCTTTGCCAGATAATCTTCTGTTGCCTTCCATAGAGTCTATTAGTATCGAATAACATCCCCCCTTAAACATCATTAGCCGTGTGGACTCTCTAGAACAGAAGTTGGGTTATCTAGATTAAGAGTCTGTGGCATGGCTCGGATTTAAAGCTGATGAAAACTTAGAAAGAAGAATTCCTGCAATGATTCTAATAGAATCTGACAATTTTCGGGTCCAATTTCTTATTTCATCGATTTCTGCTGGAGATAGTTGGCGCCGAATAGTGCGTGTACCTCACACGTCATTCTCTTATTTCCGTTGATAGTCCCCATCATCCAGACTATAATAAGTGTGTATATGATGTAATGTAACTGGGTGATGGAGTCAACTGGTAGTTGATATTGAATGTTATGATGGGAATAACTGATAAGATCAGGCTGGTCATGAAATATTTATGAAGGAGAAATGGATTGAGTTGTTTCTCAGGTTTAAACTGAGCAGTTGGGAGAGTTGAGATCAAGTTAATGATATTATAAACATATTAATAGGTTTTTATTGATTCTTGGTATCTAACAAGCTGTAACCTATATCTACCCTTGATCATAACCTATACTCCACCTTATACATAACCTATACATAACCTTATACATAACCTATACATAACCTAATATCTTAAACACAACCTTATACATGGGCTATACATAACCTTATATCCTATACATAACCTTATACATAAACTTATACATAACATTTTACATAACCTTATAGCCTATACATAACCTTATATCCTATAACTAACCTTATACATAACCTTATACATAAGCTATACATAACATTATACCCTAAATCTAACCTTATACATAAACTTATAAATAACATTATACATAACCTTATATCCTATAACTAACCTTATACATAACCTTATACATAACCTTATACATAACCTTATACATAAACTTATACATAACCTTATACATAACCTTATACATAACCTTATACATAACCTTATACATAACCTTATACATAAACTTATACATAAACTTATACATAAACTTATACATAACCTTATACATAAACTTATACATAACCTTATACATAACCTTATACATAACCTTATACATAAACTTATACATAACCTTATACATAACCTTATACATAAACTTATACATAACCTTATACATAAACTTATACATAACCTTATACATAACCTTATACATAACCTTATACATAAACTTATACATAACCTTATACATAACCTTATACATAAACTTATACATAACCTTATATCCTATACATAACCTTATACCCTAAATCTAGCCTTATATATAAAACATACAAAAGCTATACATAACTTTATACATAAAATATATATTACCGTATTCCTAACCCTAAACAATATTCATACATAATTACATAGATAATCTTAATTAAATAAGTTAACGTACACACTTAAAATTTGAATATGAACAATTCCGCATATATAGAACGATATTACAATAGATACCAAGAGAATTTTGAAAATCACTTCTGAAGGTATATTGGGTTAAAAGTTAAAATCCAAACTGAATGATTGGTAGCTTCTAAGGTTAGATTTATGTAGGCTATCGGACAATAAAAGTCCCATTCTGAATTGGTAAACTGTAAATCATTAAATTTTATGGTAAAGAATTTGAACCATGAATTTAGGTTTCGCTCTAAAAACATTAAAATTAGACCAGTTCGATAATATAGTTACATTCGGTACATTAGGGGTTAATTTTTGTAATAAAGTGTGGATTTAAGGGTTAAAGTCGAAGGGAAGTCGGTGATTTTATGAGTAAAAAACCAGTAAATTACACGAGTGACTCGACTACGGTTTAAGTTTAAACAATGTATTTGATTGTTGTAAAAATAGCGTGAAACATAACCACAGCGGGATGTCGACCATATAACTTGATAAATTACTTCCCAACTAAAATCTGTGTTAAATAAATCACCCAGATTCTACAATTCACTCATCAACATTGAGCCTACATTAAGATTTAATTTCATTGTGGAATATTTTAACATTAACAATATTTTAATGAAGTGCACAATTTGTTAATTTCGTTTTCTTAACAATTTTAAATGTATTAAGTTTTTAAACAATGTGTTCAAAATATTGAGTCTCTGGATAGATTATATTGGGCCTTCGGAATTCTGTACAAATGAAAAAAATCTTTTTTTCCTAACACTATCAATAATGTCAAACGCAACAATTGTTAAGAATTTTCTCCACAAACTGACTAAATTGTTCTTTAAGCTATTTGAATGTTGAATTATACAATGTTTGGAACTTAATGATATTTTGTATATTTTCAGGGTCGGATGGTGAAGACGATTGTGATTTAGATTCTGGAATTGACACCCAGGGAAATATCTCGGATAAAGACTTCTGTCTAGAGGGCGATAACAGTCGAGAGGGAAAGGACAATATCTTAAATAATTTAACCAATAACAATACGAACTATCTTAATAATAATAACAATAATAATAATATCAACCAATCTACCAACCCTCTCCTCTCCCCCAGTATTCACAGTTCAGTTGACATCAAAGAGGAACCACCTTTATCTCCTGCGAGTTGTGGACCAATCGGGAGTCCGGCGTCTGTGGCATCCAATATGTCGGATTTAGGAACAGGAACCAGGAATTCTGGACAGGACGGTTTAGATTTAAACGCGAATCCACCGAGTAATGACAGTAACGGTAGTGCTAGCCCCTCGGGGAGTGTTAATGGCGATAAGGGCGGGAAAGACTGTGGTGGCGGTACTGTCGGAGCTAAAAGGCGCGGACCACGAACGACGATAAAAGCCAAGCAGTTAGAAGTGTTAAAAGCAGCTTTTAATGCCACACCAAAACCTACACGTCATATCCGTGAACAACTTGCTCAAGAAACCGGACTCAATATGAGAGTGATTCAGGTAAGACAGGCTTCATTTTCCTAAACTTTGTAATGCTATTTCTACGCCATTCCAAATATATTACGACGTCATATTGTTGACGTCGACGCTCATGATTTGTCGTTAACGTCATTGATTTGACGTCAGCCTTTGCTTCACGACGTCAGAAGCAAACGTTGACAAAAAATTGTATTGAGACGTTTCATGGCGTCAGTTTTCTGACAGTCTCTATTCTAGTAAAGAAGTTAAATTTCACGTTCGGGCGTGACGCTAGGATGTTAATAATCTCGATTTCGTTCTCACCTTGGTGTTAAATGCCTCAACTTGGTTCTAATTTTGAAAAGAAGTAAATCTGCTCCATGTTTTTATTGTTAGTATTAAAATAGAGTTGACAGACAATGTTAGAGTGGAGGTAGAATGAAATGAGATGTAGCTTGTTGTGTGAGGGTAAAGTGAATAATTGTATCCTATCCCCACCCCCTGTCGAGTCAACTTGTATCGGTGTATTGTACAGCTAGGGGTACGAGTGTCACACAGCTTTCCGCACGAACGCATTCGTCTTTATCCACACTGAATGGTGACACCCGTAGGCTTGTTTTTCTTCACAAAACAATCATTGAGGATTTGAGTCGAGATGCTTTTTTATTTTCTAACGCCTCGAGGATTATATTTTACCAGTATATTCAGGGGATAAAAAAGATCAGCCATTGTGAAGATCGAGTCGTTTCATATATTCACTTAACCCACACAATACACACGAGTGTCTTACATCTTGAAGAATAGAGGGCGCTTTGTAAGGAGCGATTACTCTCATGTAAAAACTATTGATAAGGAGTTTAGTTATGGTTATTTATCTGTATATTTTAACGTCCTATTCTATTGGCTTAATATTCTATATTTTATCATTTCAATAGCACCACAATTCTAATCATTTCTCTTTTATAACCGAGAATTTTTGAGAAAAAGCGTCTAAGTTGTTTGGCGCCTGTGGTTTCTGTATTTCTATAAGGATTGGTTTCTACATCCCGGAGGCCTTTTTAATGAATTCATATATTTTTTTTCTCTAGTTTTAAACCAATAGTTATTATAGTGATGAGAATGTCAAAACACGACAGGAGTCTCGCTCGGTTTTTTTTCTTGTGTTTTGAGATGAATAAGACATTTGTAGTTTGTCTAGGATCAGTACACTTTGTAGGAAATTGGCGATTAATAAACTAATAGTTAATATTATCAACAAACTTCACATAATTTCTTTCCTTGAAAAAATGAACAATAAAATAAGTAAAGCTATTGTTTGATATCTGTCTTTAAGAAATTGCAAAAATGGAAAATTTAATAAAGCGATTTCCTTTTGAAAAAGCTGGTAAATTATATGAGTGATTTGGTACCAAAAAGATTTTTCTGGACACAATTATGCAATGAATTTCGTTGTTATCTGACCAAAATTCATCTTTTTGTTGAAGTAGGAATGTGCAATATACAATGACAACTTTGGGATGTTAACAAAGTAGTTATTCGAGATAAGCACAGGCCGAGTACATCATTCATATCGCTGGATATTAAATCGGATAGGAGTGTTCGAGACCACAAACTGAGTTAAAATATTGAAATATAAAGTATGTAATATCATATAGATCTAGCCTGGTACAAACCTATACGCTACTAATCGCAACTGGTATCTATGGACCACCATAGAGGCAGTAAATAGGCAAATCCTTTACGATATTTAAACTCCGATACCCCAGCGCCTCGATCAATTTTATCTTTTTTTAGTTGAAAACTAACATGCTAATCAGAACTGATATTACTAGACCACCGTAGAGTAGGAAAATCAGAACAAAATTCTTTGTGTCTTTATGGAATGAAAGAAGTGACCCACAGAAAAAACTGGAACAAAAACTGTGTTTTGATTCAAAATTTAATATAACTTTATTGTCCCATTCTTTAAAACTTGGGGGCTGTTGGTGTTAAAGTTATTTCAGATATCTTGCTCGCCAGAACCGATGTTCTCGGACCACCGTCGAGTCAAACAAGAATAAAGCAAGCACCATGCACCATGATATGATGTTTAATAGCATATAAATGACCCTATATATATCTAAAGTCTGTAGTTTTTAACTGTGTCTATCTAAAACTGTTATAACTGATATTGGGGGACCACCGCTGTATTAAAAAATTAGACCCATCCATCAATCAGCAAAACATGTCATTTTAGTCCCGATTCATGAGTCTGTGCACAGCGCCATATTTTCAGTTGGTATAGTATCTTCTATATTAAAAATAATATACAAAATTCCCAACATCTGGACTTAAACACCAGTACAGCAATATTGTACTGTATGAAATTGAAATTTCAGAATTTTCTCCGTCCACGTTTTCGAATAGTTTGAACTCATAAAGCCCTCTTGTATCACTGGAAATGCGGAAACGCGAACAGAATATGGTGTCAAAAACTTCAGCATTTGGTTCATTTTTACCGGAAATTCTTTCTGTAAATAACTTAAGGCCAAACATTTCATAGAAACTAAAAACATTGGCATAGTTCACTACCATCCTCGCATGATTTAGAACTTATCATCCAAAAACCGCCAAAAAAGATAAATCAAGTCACAGTTGCCGCAGACGACCAAAACGCGGTCAGACGACAGTTGTCCATGACGGTCTGTTAAAATTGGTACGAAACAAACCCGGCCCTTTGATCTTTAACCGAAACAGTCTGTTGAAATTCTTCCCAAATGTTTCCAAGTTTATAACTCATATTTCTAAGTGGTGTATATGATATATCACAGGGGGTGGTACGTAATAACTCAGTAGGAGCTACGATATGACCCAGATGGTGGTACGTTACATCCGAGTACAAACTTTCCTTACTGGCTATCTCTGGTGGAATTTTGGATGAAGACAGAAATGTTACATAAATCAAACTTTATTTATGTTTTGAACTATCAGAACTGAAGAGGATAGGATTGTTTAGAAAGGTCTCTGAGTGCAACGTGTTCAAAACCATTTCCGTTATAACGTTAAATTTTAACTTGAATTATTTTCCCGAAGTGTTATGCCATTCTCTTGGTTGATTTAGAATTACAAATGATTTGCATGTGAAATAAAGAAAATTGTTGAAGAAATATTTCTCAGTGTCCCTAGTGTTTTTATAATTCTGTTGAAAATGCAGAGGACATCTCAAGTTTCCCGCCAAGAAAGAAGTGTGAAAACATTGAATTTTGATTCTGTTAGAGAACGTGACGGAGCACATCCCGATATTTTAATGTGTAAACTGAGTTTGTTTGATTTCTGGTGATAAATCGTGCGCGGGAAACAAGACGTCTGCTAACTAACACGGGTCTAGGAAATAGAGAAGAATAAGAATCTATTTAAGAACGAAATCTCGTGTATGTTCTTCATTTCCTTAGAGGCAGCGCGAGGAGGAAACGTCAACAATTCGATTTAAATGATTTTATTCGTCTGTATTAGAATTTTAACACGTTCTCGGAACAGCTTCAATACGTCATCGTTAGTTAGTCTTCTGCTGGTTTCCGACCAGACGTTGAACCACCAGGCGAGTCTTCAACGTCAGTTCGTCTGCTTTAATTATTTCCAGACAGATTAAGGCTACGTTTGCTAACGATCACGAGCTAGACAGAAGACTGAAGGCACGCGCTGCTCATCAACTACCGGTCATTGTTCATAATGAGGCAATCAATCATTGAAAACTCGTTAAATTCGGCCACCACCATCTGATTACCTCCCCTTTCCATGTCGTCTGGTCTTACTACTGTCCTGTCAGATTTGAAAAATCACCTGAAAGTTTTGTGTTTGTGACGTCGATAACCTGGTGTACTCTTGTCAATTACCCACACTTTTTACCCCACGTGTCACTAAGGAAACAAATTGGCCAATTAAAGTGTTGAAATCCGACAAATGACGCCATTTTGAACAATTGAAAGAATTAAATTGTTGATTTGAGGCGGGAAGTGATTAGAGTAGATGAATTACCGTCAGAAATAAATAGGTTTAGTGCCGCTGTTTAACGGTGATAAGAACTATCTGGTAAAGACTGATAGGGAAGGCTTGAATACAATTATAATCTTGAATGATAGATTCTATTCACTTTTATTGCCTGTATTGAGTAGGACAAATAGTTCTGGATATTGAAAATAACACGGGCTTGCCACATTTTCATTGACAATAACGATAGTATTTAGCACTGAAAAGACTTCCATTTTGTACTGATTCCTTGCATTTAATATTTGTTGTAGTTTCTTATTCTCTGAGCAATTAATCAAATGGCACAAACCAGCAATTATCTTAAATAACTTACTGCTGCAGAAATACAACTTGTTTAACTTTTTAAAAGGTATCTGAAACCTTTCAGATAAAATATATTTAAAGTAAATAGGTAATAGTGTCATAGTTTCCATGACCCCCTCGTTTAGTTCCCTATAACCATGTTACAAGTGGTTATAATTTTACGTAGCATGCTTATCGTATTTTCTCCTTGTGATCGTGTGTTTCTAAGTATCTCGTAACAAGAATGTGTCACTTTTCTCCTTCTGGCCCAAGTTTTGAAAGTGCTTGAATTTTTTTCTCTGGAATCTCCGATCCAATCAGTGGAGTATTTCATTAAGTGGCTTTAAAATTTGTATATATTTCTAAGACTCAGAATTTATACAAAGTTCCACTATCTTAAGTGGTGCTTGGTCTTTAGAGCGAATGTTTCGTTTGTTGGGATGAATTCCATGTTTGTTTGAGATGGGGTCAACAAAACATTTCTTTCGCGAGATTCTGACAGGTTAAAGTAGTGGTACTCGAGAATGGCGAGGATCGGTCTGGATGTTGTGTAGTCTCGGTTATAAAGGTGGTTAATAAACAATGTTGTACAGTGTTAGAGGTTGTGTGTTTATCTGTAAATATAAACAGTCGGTGCCATCCTCTACTTCCTTCACTCATCTACCAGTTTAATCACCGTCAAGAAAATACAACTCCTTCAAATATGGGCACCGCTTTGTAACGTTTCACTGGAT